TTTCATTATTAATTGACGAGTTATCCTTCATGTTGAGAAAAAATTGTCATACAGGTATTTTTTATTGCAAATGAAATCCCTGATATACTATGTCTTTTGTTTGCAGACGATATTGCTGATTGTGCCGAAACAGAGTCAAAGTTACAACAGCAAATAAATGTTGTTAAAGAAGTTTGCAATATTATTGGTGTGAAATCTTGATAAAACTGAAATTATATTTTTGCGTAATGGTGAAAGTATGATTAATGGTTCTATCGAGATTACCCTACAACTATCTTTTTAATTTCTATGGGATTATTATTTACTCAAAAATTACCTTTGAATGAGGCACTTGAAAAAATAGCTTCTCAAGCTTATAGAGCACTTAATGCCATACGCCATTTTCAGAAACCATGTTAAGGATTTTTTAATAACTATTTATAAATGCTGTTTTATTGTTTGATATATATTTTGGACCGGATGCCTTTAATTATGAAAAAATAGTTGAGTTGGGGAAAAGTGGTCCTTGTCGCGCGCGCGCGCGCGCGTGTGTGTGTGTGTGGGAGGGGGTCATGAAATGTGTACTCAATAGGTTGTAAAAGGGGTACCCGTTCGGTTTATGCATTTTCCATTGTTAATTGTTGTCGTTGGAGAGTTGGAAAAAAACATAAATAAGAACAACGTTTTATAACATTTTGACATAAAAGTTCGTGTAGTTTAATGGATTATATATCTACGCACTTTATCTTTTCAATTAGTATGATAAAGATCGCATTCCTACATTTTAAATTTAAAACCGGCCGAACGGAACGAGTCGCTTTTCATCATATAACTTAAATTTAAAGCGGAGGTTAGTATATAACTATGACTTTAGACATTTACTGTCAATAATAACTGTGTATTGTTATGAATGGCAAGTTTTAAATTTGTAGCGTCAAAGTTTCATTTGTTGGCCTTTTTTTAATTTAGCCTAATAATCTACTTGAATTCTATCCCAGCTAGAAACAAGATTGAACCAAAATTCATATTACATTGTACATTGTAAATCCGATTTTACGACATATTATAATTTTTGAAATCGCCGATTTTTTACGGTAAAATGTTAAAGTTATATAACTGCTGTAAAATTTCCATAGGATGCTTCGTAAATACATGCATGAAATAAGATGTTTAATTATTTACACGAAAGCGAATGCATGAAATAACGCCAAACACATTAAAAAGATAGTTTGCAGATACATGAAGGATCATAAACACAAAACGTTCAATATGCGGCACAACTTAAAACTTCCACTGTAAATTCTAAATTGATAATTTTAATTGAATTACAAAAGTTAGGCTGTGACCTTTATGTACGTAATAGTTTATATATAAACAGATATAGGTATCTTATTTGTCAGGTATATTTTTTCGCCATTTGTATTACCATAAAACATAACTGGTGTGCGAAATTGAATGTCATTTGCATCATCCGGTTTTTTTTTCAAAAGTAGTAAATTTAGATGTGTACATATGTAAACATGTTAGAAATGAAAAGCGTTTAAGACTTTGAACTAAAATCAGGAAAAGAAATCGCAGAAACACACGCACGTACGCAAAGAAAAAAATCTTTTTTCATTCTGAATACCGGTATATTTTTAACGTTGTTTTGTATCTATCCAGGACATTCAATTTTTTAGTTTTTGAGGCTGTTGAATCTCAGTGGAGCTCTTCTATTAATACCAGTAATTATAATGATAGTGGCGATGAAAGTGACAGTTATGACAATGATGATAGCGACGATGACACCAGCATGAATGGCGATGTTGATGTTTCAACAATACCTGATAGATAGATGGATGGATGAATGGATGGAGAGAGAGACAGAGAGACAGAGAGACAGAGAGCTCTTGAATATTGTTGTTGAATATCCGAAGCACTAATAAATTGTAATGATTGAGTTGCATATTTTGGAGAAAAAGTAGAACCTAACGCATAAATTCACAAAGTTATGCCATGTATGACAAAATAAATTGGATAACAAGTAAAAATGAAATGATTGGTATTCTAAAAATAAATTCAAAACAAAGACAGAGGTAAAGAAAATTATCTCCGTTGCGCCGGAAAATGTTCTTTTTTTTAATATAGGTGCGAAATGCATAATGTTCTAATGCACCCATTGACTGTCTCTATATGAACTACTTAAATAACCGAGGTGTATCGAGTGAAAAAACACAAGTTGTTTACCTTATCTTCGAGTAAAATCAATATCTCTAATGCTTAAACAATGCAAATTTAGCAGTTGTTTAAACCGCTAGTTTGGGCCGGTTTTAAAATTTATTACACCAATGAAAAGCTTGTGATCTTAGCTTCGTCTCAGTATATATTTCAGCATATTGTTTGACACTGGATGTATTTAAATTTACGGTTAAATCTACCATATGTCAGACCATTTTACATACGTTTTATTGAGTACCGCTCAAGCCGGTGCTAGGGGGCGTGAGGGATGTTGCACTGATTCATTGTCCCTCCTCAAACCGAGTCTGCAATTCTTATGTAATTTTGTTGTGATTAATGCTTCCGAGGGATCACTTTGTTTCCAGATTTTTATACAGTGAGATACGATTATCTTTACTCGCAATTCTACTAATAAGAATAGCCTATCGTTAGCTAGTTCGGAATCAATCCAACTATGATTTTGAGAACAAACTGTTCTGTTATTTTACAAATAGCAAAACTATGTATGTAATATCAAATAATAGTTACTAAGAATAAAATGTTAAATATAATCAATTCTTAGTAACGTATTGTTTACTTATTTATAAAAGATAAAACTACTTGATTAAACACAAGATTGCATATTTGCCTGGAATTTAGGTATAGAACCACTAAATGTAATAAAAAATCCAGGCAAGAGAACGATCGTCACAGAATCCTTCAAAATAACCTATGGTAAATATCTGGGATGCATTTTAAAACAAACTTACATTTTTCACTCATATAATCTGTTTATACATGTTAATTATTTTCATGAATAAGCATACACTTTGCCTGTTTTAAAATTGCAAAAAAAAAAAAAAAATATTTCAATTGCGCCCGTCAAAAAAACAACAAAAAAAAAAAAAACAAACAAACTCCAATGCGGATGTTAGTCATACCCCGTTGGAACAAGGCTTATGACTGTTGTTCCCATCATTCGAATATACATTGGCTCATTGACACGTTATTTATAAGGTAAATGAAAAAAAATATGATATTCAAACATGGCACAATCACTTCATTTAAACGTTTACTTTTAATTCCTTAAAGCTCAGTGATATTGTTGTACAAGAGAAAAGCTATTTTTATTAGAGAATTTGAAAGCAGTGTGATTTTGTTAAAACAACCAAAAAAAAACAAAAAACAAAAAATGTTCCCCAGCATATCTACTAGACGGGTCTAATAGAGATTATTTTTTGTGTCCGTTGCTGGAACACACGATGTCTCGTTTTTGATTGCCGGTGTTTATTTACCCTTACACCACGAATATTGTTTTTCTTTTTCTAAAGGAATGACTGAATGTCCCTTTAAATTGCTCTTCCTGTGTGTTTTCAGTGCTATCGAGCAACACATTGATTTGACACTTTATTTGTATTGCCAGCTGAACATTTATCTTACACTTTATTTCGGAATGCTAGATTGCTATGTCAGCTTAACAGCTCATTATCAAACAGGAGGTTGATTTTGCATTCTTTATTTTTCCGGAATGCCCTGCTAGATTGCGCTACAAACTGAGCATTTTGGAGAGAAAATATTTTTGAATGCTCCGCTTGTTTTTCTCCACCGGCTAAGCAATTCAGCAACACATTGATTTTACACTTTATCATGGAATGCCCTACTGGGTGCTCTGCCAGCTAATTAAAACAGCAACACATTGATTTTACGCTTTATGATGTAATGCCTCTTTTGGTTGCTCTGCCAGCCAAGACTTATAGCAATACATTAATTTTACATGATGTTCTGGAATTCCCTCTTGGTTGCTCTGTCAGAAAAAAATGTTTCAGCGTCGAACTAACTTTTCACTATATTTTGTAATGTCCTCCTCATTTTATCTGCCAGATAAACATTACATTTCCTTTTACTTAAATTGTAATCTAAGTCAGTGTTAACTTCTTATCTAATATAACAATCTTAACATAGGTTTTATACAGTATACTTGTATTTATTGCTTCTACATAATTATATTTATGTGCTGTATGATCAATCAAATAATCTTTTCAATATATACATTTCCACGTTTTGATACTTTTTAAGTGTAAAAAAGCTGTTTTTATGGCGGAAACATTAATATTTGAATTTAAAAAAGAAATGCTTGCAAAATGTTTTTATATGAAAGAAATGTGGAATTAAATTATCTTAAAATAGAATTGCGGATGCATGACATTTTTGCTAAACGGATAAGACCATACTTAGAATGGCAGCATGCTATTGTGTTTCGTAACTTTTTATCTGTTATCGTACAATATTCATGTGTGTAAAGAGAAATTCTATACCCACTCCTTTTATTTTTTAAGTCACTGGTAATGTGGCCGTTTTTGTAAATATGTGACGCTACAGATGGTTGAACTTTATTGTTGTTTATTTGATATACTATTAATTATTTCATTAACCATTTGGTGTGTACTAAAATAGGAAATTAAGAAGGTCGGGTAGCTGAATATCCTTGATAAAACAATGTACCCACAACGTTTGCATTCTTGTTATTGAAAGTAAATGTAGCTCTGCCTAATATCTTACTTGAATATTAGCAAAATATTATTAAAACAAATAATATAAATACATATAAGTGAGATGCAGACATTATGGGTTTCATTGCCAAACTGCGTAAGTGTTAAACATCTTATTTACATAATGTTCAATTACATAGCATTAAAATCACTGAACTGTGAATTAAATGGTAAACATAAAAGAATATTTACCTTTGAGAGGAGTAATAAATATCGCAAATAAATGACATTATGATAGATTCATGCTAAATTTTTCATTGAATTCAAGCAGACGCGCACTGACTGTGACAAGTAGGAATATGTACGCGTTGAACTGATACAAAAGTGCATATTTTGACGTGAGATTTTAATAACGTTTGGTACAATGTTCTGCACTATCGATGTTGTGTATCATGGAACAGTCAATGTAACGATTTATTAAGAGGCCAACGTTGATGGTGATAACATAAAAAAATCCAAAGGTTAAAGTTACTGAAATTTTGCACTGAAACTTTATTGTAGTGAATGTGTATTCAATGGTCAATTTACGATAGTGTAAAGATAATTAAATCATAATGGACGGTAAAAGTATAGCGTCAAAAGGAAGTATGCAGAACGGGTTCGACATGATAATTGAAGAAAGTCAGCCGATGAGAGTTGAAGAAGAACAGAGACAAATTGAAAACATACTAACACACGCAAATGATACAAATATGGATGTTAAATTTGAAGAAGACATAACATTGCCAACAAAAGCTGAAACAGAAAAGCTCAAGTTCACATCAACCTTCAGCACCTATATGACTTTGTTGGGATATACTGTAGGGATGTCTGATTTCTGGAGATTTCCTTTTCTTGCTTATAGAAATGGCGGAGGTATGATTATATATGTATAAATGGTTTATATTTTGGTCAAGATTGATCTTTTTTCTCAGCAAAAAAATCTGTTTTTGTATGACCTTTTTACATATAATCTACCAATTGTGATCCAATCTTAGTTTTGGTTGTGAAAAATTGGAAAAAAAACAATGTAAAGGTAGTTGTAATACTAGTATAAATGTTATGATAATATTTTACGTATTTAAAGGTCAAGATGTGTGATATAATGTCATTTTCAAGTGTTATTTTCACATTTTTTTACAAATTAAATAACTTCATTTTGTATCACTGACGGAGAGGATTTTTCCTATCTCATGCAACAAAGAAACTTGCATCGCTGTGCATGTTTAATACAAGGATATAATTCTTCTTCTAAATTATTTTTTTACTGTTGCACACATGTTTTGTGCGTTTCATATATCATTAACCTTTTTTAATAAAATAACAGCATTCCGTTTCAGGAGCGTTTCTAATCCCATTCGTGGTAATGATAATTTTGTGTGGGTTTCCTATGTATTTCTTGGAATATTCTTTGTCTAAGTTCTCTGGTAGAGGACCCTACAAGATATGGGACATCTGTCCAGTTTTTAGAGGTAAGTATTCCTTGAGACCGAATAAATGACTCAGTTGTCTGATTAAATTTAAATGGTCTAATATTAGTTTAAACATTTTATAGTTTGTTTAAAAGATCCGATATAATACAAATCAAAAATTGACTGCTAACATGATTTCATGTATAGATGAAAATATATGTATGGAGATTTTGAACAATACACCACTCGTCTTCTTAAACTTGAAACATGGGTAAATTGTGAGCTGATTTAATACACTTTGCCCGTTGCGTTGTCGATAGCGACAACACAATTTATATCGTAATGGCCTTTTCGTCTTGTTGTCTTATCGCTAGAGAAACGCGCCAAACGGCGCGTTGGCGGACTATCGTCTTGTTGACCCTCGCTAGCGAAGCACGCCAAACGGCGCGTTGTCGTGCAGCGAGTAATCGCGATGTCGCCCTGTCGCTTTGCTTATATATATACAAAAAGCCAATTCTTCGTTTTTTATGGTGGCGGATTTGGAACGCTTTTGTGTGTCGTGTTGTTGCTATCGACAACACGACAAATAATAATAATAAGCCAAGCGGCAGGGCGAAATCGCGAAAACGAGCCGCCGGATAAAGCGCAGTTTTGGCGTGCTTCGCTTGAGACAGGACGACAAGACGCCAAACGGCGCGTTGATGCACTATAGTCTTGTCGTCCTGTTTCTAATGAAGCACCCCAAACGGCGCGTTGTCACATTGTCGCTTGGCTCAAATCTATGGTGTCTGTTGGTACTCTTTTCGCGTTGCGTTGTCGATAGCGACAACATAACCTATATCGTTATCGCTTTTTCGTCTTGTCGCTGGCGAAACGCGCCAACTCGAAGAATTGGTAATTTGTATAAGGTCAGAAATCCTAAATATTTACTGCATATTTCTTTTTATTAGCGGTTTTCGTACGCAAATTTTACATTATTATGGGGCCTCCGTGGCCGAGTGGTTAAGGTCGCTGACTTGAGATCACAGGTCTCTCACCGCTGTAGGTTCGATCCTCACTCGGGTCGAAATCTTTCATGTGAGGAAGCCATCCAGCTGGCTTACGGAAGGTCGGTGGTTCTACCCAGATGCCCGCTCGTGCCTGAAATAATGCCCGAAGTGGCACCTGGGGTCTTCCTCCACCAATAAAGCTGGAAAAGATCGACGAAAAAATCTCGGCGGGACGCTCTAGGATGACCCGACTGGAGTGTACGGTCGCCCATATGGGCTTTCCGGCGGCGACCTAAAATAAACGCATTAAAAAAATGTTTCGCAATCGAGCTAAAAAATATGTTTAAACAAGTAAGATAAAATTTCTACCAGTTATAGTTGTTACAATATTTACAATTCATACCATCGTATTTTATTCTTATATTTGTCAAAAGGTATCGGTATAACAGTAGTTGCAGCATTTTTTCTGTGGATGATTGGTACCACTGTATTGAGATGCTGGATCATTGACTTTCTTATAAACGCTTTCCAAGATCCACTACCCTGGACACTTTGTACTAATAGTTGGAACACAAAGTTGTGTAAAGACACTCTCGGTGAAGGAAGCTCAAATGCCGATAACCAATCACTTGACGCAATCCCATTATTAAACGATTCTGTGACGTCAATAATGTTTTCCATGACGTCATCTTTGTCCACAGACGTCATGAACGGAAGACAGAATTCTTCAGTGCATGCTATTTTGGCGAATTCTACAGGAACGTTAATGACGTCAGCAGAGGAATTTTGGCAGTAAATATGATTATCATTTGAAACTTTTAAATCATGTAAAATCATAAAGATATATTATTATATAAACCGCGGCGAAGGAGTTTAATATAGCCATGTAATAAAAACGATATAACACTAATGTAATAACACTTTGACGTGACGTCATTTGCGCTACATATAAACATAGCGTTAAAGCACGCTAATTTTAGCGCTACACTATAGGCGCATCAATGAAAAATGACTCATTTTAGTTGTCAACTGTTCTATTTTTGAATATGTGATATATTATTTTCGTGTAGATTCAATTCTGAATTTATTGAAATCTTTGAATAAAACAATAGTATGCTCGCCAGAGACTCGCATAATATGATTTTATTCAACTCGTTCAATAAATTTAGTATTAAACCTTCACTCATTTAATATCCTCTTTTTATCACACACCCGTGCCGATTTGCGACTCCGTAAATATGGTATTGCACGGCCGTGCATATATTTGACGTGACGTCATTAGCGTTATACAAATATACAAATATAATGTAAAGACGCGCTAAATGTTAGCATTTTACTATAGGCGTTCATTGAAAAACGATACTTTATCACTTTAAGCATTCCTTTTTGGGGTATGTCATAAATAAAATATTATATTCGTGTAAAATCAATAAAAGAATATATTTCAAATCATTACTTTGTAGTTTATGCATACAAATTTACTGTACAGATTAAAATAAAACATCAATTAGATATATACTGTGACTCGAAGTGTTGCATTTTAAGCTGATATCTATCTTGTGAATTTTGACTACTTAATAATGAATGCCTAACTTGCAAATGTATTTAGTTTTTTTAATTAAATATTTAGAAAAAACAAGAATTGCAGTATTTCATTGATAAATCGGCAAACTATATCAACTATCTAGTTAATCGACTGTTTATTAAGATAATTTCAAACACTAAATTAGTTCTTGTTTATTAGTTAGCATGTATCACACTGATCTTTACCAATTTAATTTTGCCTTCTCCTTTTGGAAAAAAATTCCCGGCAGCGCCAAGCGTCTGTCGACCTCTGCATTCACTCTGTATATCCAGTTACGCAGCAATGTGCAAATAACGCAGGAATTGAGCAAAAGTAACGCAGAATTGTGCAATTAAGTGGCTAAAACAGGCACCGCCATACGTAAATGAACCAATATTTTTAGTGTACACCACAGTGGAAGAAATGAATTAACGCGCACAGTTCTTAGACATTATACTTTAAACCCCATTAAAAATATTTCTATAAAAATGTTTGTTTTTTAAGATCATTCGTGAAAATGACGACCTGACTAGCGTATTGATGGTGATTTTTAGTTTCGTTGATATCTTTAAATACAATAACATACATATTACTTTATGATTTTTTTAAATCTGGTGTACGTGAGACATTTTCCCATCTGCTTATGTTATATTACACTTAGTTTAGCAGATAAAATGTAATTGACACCATTTTACGAGGTAACGCCAAATAACGTGAATGAAGCACTGAAGCAACGGCGGTAATCTCATTTAAAGTAGCTAAATCTTATTTGTTATACGACACATGTAGTTTACTAGATATGCACGATGCCATTGCTTGAGTCTCACTATATTATGTTGGAAATGTAGATGTGATTTTTATACGCCCGATTGTTATGCACCTGATTGTCCGTCCGTTGGTCCGTCCGTCCGGCCTTACATTCAATGTTATGTGAGCTTCATTCCGTCCATAATCTAAGTCAAAAATAGTATTAAAAATTGAAATAAAACATGTTGTGGACAAATATTAAAACTGGGTATCCTCCCTGTTTAAAATTATTTTTGATTACTTTAAATTTTACTTTCGTACATTAAATTTGCATTCGGGCGTATATTGCGGTGCTCTTGTTAACACATGAAATCAATAAATTATTCAAAGAAACAAAGACAAAAAAACGCTTTTTTGACATACTGCATTTCAGATACCGTGTTTTGGAATTGTCGTCTGGTATTTCTGACCTTACACCCTTTCAGTGGCGTCACGTGATTACTTTAGCTGTGTTACGTATTGTTATAGGTTTTGGTCTTGTGAAAAGTATCAAATCTATAGAAAAGGTTAGACATTAACAATGCGAATTTTAAATCCAAAGTGATCTTTCTACCATTTCAATCATTTTGAAGACTTGAACATATTTTTTACGCAGCATGTTTTTATTTTTTTAAACTTAAATAACCTTGTAAAAAAAGGTTGATATTGGATATTTTGTATGTTGATTTATGATATTTTTTATATGGTAAAAGGTTTTAAAATGTAATAAAATTCCTATTTAACGGTAGGCTAAATACCGATCTAGTTAGGTTTAATACTGTAAATCCATTATTACTGACGTCTTAAATCAAGAAACGAAAACGCCAATATATCGTGTTTCTTATTTGCATAATCTACTCCGTTACTAACGCAAAAGCCAGTATAAATAGGAAAAGATAATTCCTGCAACACGGTCCTTGTCATGACAGTGGTTCGGATAAGTCCCGATATCCGTAACGTCGTATTATCGTCAATGAGTAGGCACTTATCATATTTCAAGCTAAAGTTTAATTCGAAATATTGGTAATCTATGGTGGCATATTTCTGCCACCTGATAATTAACTAGTTATTTACGTAACTAGTTAACCTCTTAATTAACTAGTTGATTAAGAGGTTAACAAGTTACGTAACTAGTTCACCTCTTATTTAACTAGTTAGTTAAGTGATTAACTAGTTACAAAACTAGTTAACATCTTAATTAACTAGTTAGTTAAGAGGTTAACTAGTTACGTATTAACGTAATTAGTTAACCTCTTAACTAACTCGTTAATTAAGAGGTTAACTAGTTAAGTAAATACATAACAAGTTAATCACTTAACTAACTAGTTAGTTAAGAGGCTAACTAGTTACGTAAATACGTAACTATTTAACCTCTTAATTAACTAGTTAGTTAAGTAATTAACTAGTTATGTATTTACGTAACTAGTTAACCTATTAGCTAACTAGTTTATTAAGAGGTAAACTAGTTACGTAACAATTTAACTCTAAATTAACTAGTTAGTTAAGTTATTAACTAGTTACGTATTTACGTAACTAGTTAACTTCTTAACAAACTAGTTAATTAAGAGGTTAACTAGTTACGTATTTACGCAACTAGTTAACCTCTTAATTAACTAGTTAACTAAGAGGTTAACTAGTTCCGTAACTAGTTAATCACTTAATATTAAGCTGGTAAAATAATAAAAGGATGGCAGTTGTAGGCACTAACATGCATTTATTTCCCGTTATGATATTTAATTTTTTGAAAAAATTAACTGTTACGTAACTAGTTAACCTGATTACTAACTAGTTATTGAAGAGGTTAACTAGTTACGTAACTAGTTAACTCTTAATTAACTAGTTAGTTATCAGGTTATCTGGTGGCAAAAATATGCCACCATAGTAATCAAATACATGTACATCATATTAAAATCAACTATAATTTTAGTGCCCCAAAATAGCAGTTTATTCGTTTTTCACTTTAATTGAAACGATCTTGGTTTCCGTGCGTTCCGAATGACAGGTCGCGATTTTGTCCTGTAAAATCACGTGGTACTAGAAATAAATCCGGATCAAGAAATTCCGTAGTTTAGTTAATTTCGAAGAATTGTCATCAAACTTGAATCAACATTACTTAAGGATAGACCATTAAGTTAATAATATAGAGCTTGACATTTGACTTATCAACGACCTTGACCTGGTCGGTCAATATATTTGAATTTTCATTCTATTTTACTGTAACTGTCTATAACTTTATTATTTATGAATGGACAAACTTCGCATTTAGGTACAACATTTATTTAGAATACGATAATCATGTATTATATTAAACTAAATTGACTAAAACTCATTTATTACCTAGACCTTGAGGTTAAATTATTGAATTTACTTTAACTGACTTACTTTGTAAATAATAAGCGGATTATCTACATACTTAGACAAAACAACTTTTTGGACTAGACCATCTGGAAGTTGCACTGACGTTGACGTTGAGCTTTAAAGCACGTCAACAGGCAAGGTCAAATTATTGCATTTTGCTTAAAATTGTCAAAACTTTGCTATGGTTGTACGGATTTGACTTACACTTTGACAAAAAAATGACTTTCGATCAAACAACCATATTGTTTAATTTAGATGTGGATTTGATCTTTAATTGGCATTGATCGTCAGAGTAAAATCAAAGTAAACTTTGATATCAGCTGACCCTAATTTGACAAAATGATCTAAGTTCTTGTTCCTTGATATACAGCTATAAAATCTGGACCATAGGTACATTTTAGGCTGTAAAACTGAACTTTGATGTCAACTGTCCTAAATTTCGACAAAGTGATTTACTTTCTTGTTCTGTGATGTACAGCTAAACAATTTGGACCATGTGCACAGTTTAAGATGTAAAATTAAACCTTGATTTCAGCTTACCTAAAACTCGACGAAGTGGCCAACTTTCTTATCTTTTAATGTACAGCTATAAATTAGGACCATGAGAACAATTTTACATGTAAATTTTAACTTTGATATCTGCTGAACTAGTGACCTACATTGATTTTCTTAATACATCTATGGCAATTTGACCTTATGTACTGTTTTAAGTATAGAACTGAAATTTGATATCAGATGACCTAAATACACTAAGAGGCACTTATAACCCGACACTTACATTATGCGGTATAACTTAGTTATTTGTGAACAGATTTTGTTCAGTTTTTGAACATAAAAAATTCAATATATCATACTCATTTATCTAGAATTTTACTTCCAATTCATTAACAATATAAAAGAGAAAATAACAAAACAAATATGTTACTGCAAAATAAAAAATCACAAGATGATTGTGAATATCGTTACACAATGAAAGTCTCTAAATCCAACTGATTCTGTAAAATAACCAGTTCTAATACTTTCTGTGTCATCCCATGACTATAGCAAAGTGTAAACACCTGTCTCATGGTTATGACGTAGTGAAGGCTTGGGGAATGTTTCTCCATTCCGGAATAAGGGCTTCCCCGACTTCCAGCAAGTCCTGCATTCCAAGTCACCATCTAAACATCACACTTGTCGGCTAAATTGAACGGGCGTGTGAGAAAGCGGCCAAAAGCTCCTCGCAATTTGCTGGAACACGAGCAAGCCCTTATTTAGGAAAGAGAACTATAAGTCAGAGGTGTTTACTTTGTTATAGCCAATTGGGAGGACATAGGATTCATGGAATTCAGAGACTGTTCATTGTGTTAAGATTTGTACAGTCATTTTGTGTTTTTTCATTTAACAGTAGCCTATATGTTTTGCCATCTTTTTCTATTTTTATCAATGAATTGTAAATATAATTCCAAGTAGTACATGTAAGTATGATAAGAGTCCAAATTTGAACAAAATTTATTCAAAAATCACCAATTTATACAGAAAAATGTCAGTGTCGTGTTATAAGTGCCACTGAGTGTATGTACCGTGTTTATATAGCAAAAATTATAAAAATGTATGAAGCATGGTTCGTGACAAGTTCAAAGTCTTATATTAAACTCTAGCTTTCACTGCCGTTTTATAAGATCCATTAAGATAAGACCTTTATGTATATTAAACTCAAATTGACATTTAATCATGCATGGGTCAAATTATTGAATTTTCAATGATTTTTGCTATAATTGGCAGTACCTTTGTAATAAATCAATGAATTATCTTCATCCTTGGATTACATAACCATTCGGGCAAGTCCTTTTAAAAGGCTAAACTGACCTTGACTTTGAGCTTTAAATTACCTTGACCATAAACCTGAAATTATTGAATTCTGTTTTGTTACTTTTGTACGAATTTAATTCATACGTCGACAAATCAACATCTTTAATAATTAAGATGCGGCCCTGACCTTTAAATAACCTTAACTGTCAATGTCAAATGATGATTGCATTTTGATTATATTTTCTTAACTTTGTCAATTATTTATGAAAATAATTCACACTTAGACAAAACAACGATGTGTCAATAGACCATCCTATTGAAATCTTAAAAAAGGAAGAAAAAAAAATCTCTACTGAAAGTAGTTTTCTTTATAAGATTTGCTTAAACTTTTATTTGTTTTATTTGTGAAAAAGTAAAGAAACTGAGCTTTGCCCTTGCCCGGTAGTGCCTGTAGTTGTAAATATACTTTTAATTATTTTAACCCATGATTATCTGTTACGCAGTGTCTTACATATCACTATCATTCTTCCTTTTTTGATGAAGTCTGTTTTATATTTTATGTATGAATAGGTGATATACGTTACAGCCACAGTTCCGTTTTTCCTGACAGTTGCCATATTTATCAGATCGCTGATGCTGCCTGGTTCAAGTCTTGGCATATTGCATTTTATCAATCCAGATTTTGACAAGATTTTACAGCCAAGGGTAAGTAGCAATCTAATGTAAAATAGTTTTGAACGGGTTTCATGATTGGCTGTATTTCATATTTCAGTGTGTAATACCTAATTTGATTGGTAATTGTATATTTACAATGTACTATTTGATTGGATGTACGCTTTGTGACATTGCCTTACGCGTTATTTGATTAGCTGCGATTATTTTTTTTTATTCAGTTCTGATTTGAAATTCATTTTCAATTTGCCGTGTTGGGCTTTCTTTAGGGATTCTGTATTTATCTATTTTTTGCTTTATACCTCATACTTCTGTGAAATTTTCGACTGAAGAACAATTTTGTAAGAAAAGTAATTTATCTAATAAATGGATTTTGATAGGATTATTTTTATCAAAACTACTTCTCAAGTTTCACGTGAGTTCTTAGTTTATACTTAAATTTTTATACCTTTGTCTTATCGATATTCGGAACTGTAACTGATTGTGATCTTGAAATCGTTTTTTTTTCTCTCTCTATATTTCTATACCAGGTTTGGATTGAAGCCATGTTGATGGCTTTTTATACACTGGGTTTCGGTTGGGGAGGTAATATATCACTGGGCTCTCACGCACATTTCAAAGAGAATTGTTTAAGGTAAATATTATTTTCATCTAAACATTGGTCCATGCTCGGTTTTCAGTCCAGTATCTTGTAACAAGTATATTTCCTATCATTTACAACGAGTTAACATAACCGTTTACTGATAAGGCTCTAACACAAGAGCTCTGTCTGAGAGGCTACTCAACATGTTTTGACATTTTGACATGACTTTATGTATTTGTATGTACAAATTTAATTAATGAGTACAATAAGAAATTTGATAAAAATACGTGTATGAATATGAAACAAGGCTAGATGGAGTAAAATATAGATCTGATATGTTTTGAGTCGGAAATCAAAACTAGGCTAGACGGAGAACAATAGTGATTTCATATTGAATGTTTGGACTCAGTCTGGCAAAATGAAAATTAATCGAAAATAATTGAATTTATAATCATTGATATGGGTAGCGGAGACCAAAATTATTGAAAAGATGCATACATATAAAGCTAGAGCTAACTACATAGCCTTAGTAGACACAAAATTGCTATTTCATTAATTTGTTGAAGCTGCATTTTATAGATATGAAAAAAAGACTTAACCGTTGGAATAAAATAAAAATTTGAAAGCTTTCTAACTTTTGTTTGAACCTTTTAACCGATAAGAAAACCCCAAGGTTATATGAATTGTAAAATGCAAATGAAGACTGTGTTAAGGAGAAACTTCTAGAATTGTCCATTATGTAAGAAAATGGACTGATTGACAAATAAAACAAAATAAAAATTGTCCTTGCTTCGGTTAAACAAGGCAAATAATCCTTACGAAACGACAGGAGTTCACAAGAAATCTACGATTGCTGCGCATGGTCGTTTTCATTTGTTTAGTTTTAGCTCACCTGTCACAAAGTGACAGGGTGTGCTTTTGTGATCGCTTTTCGTCCGGCGTCCGTCCGTCGTCCGTCCGTCGTCCGTCCATCCGTAAACTTTTACTTTAAATGACATCTCCTCATAAACCATTAAGCTAATTTCATCCAAACTGCACAGGAATGTTCCTTTGGTGGTCACCTTTAAAAATTGTTCAAAGAATTTAATTCCATGCAGAACTTTGGTTGCCATGGCAACCGAATGAAAAAACTTTAAATATCTTCTTTTAAAAAACCCTAAGAGCTAGAGCTTAGATATTTGGTATGAAACATCTTCTAGTGAGTGTCTACCAAGTTTGTTCAAATAAAAGCCCTGGGGTCAAAATTGGCCCCGCCCCAGGGGGTCATTGATTTTCCCAATATGCATATATTAAAAACTAAAAAATCTTCTTTTAAAGAACCCAAAGAGCTAGAGCTTAGATATTTAGCATGAAACATCTTCTAATGAGTGTCTACCAAGTTTGTTCAAATAAAAGCACTGGGGTCAAAATTGGTCCCGCCCCAGGGGGTCATTGATTTTCCCTATATGCATAGAGTAAAAACTTAAAAAATCTTCTTTTAAAGAATTCAAAGAGCTAGAGCTAAGATATTTAGCATGAAACATGTTCTAATGGGTGTCTACCAAGTTTGTTCAAATAAAAGCCCTGGGTCAAAATTGGCTCTGCCCCGGTGGTCATTGTTTTTTCTTATATGTGTATAGCAAAAACTTTTTAAAAATTCTTTGAAAAAACTCAAATAGCTAGAGTTTAGATATTAAGCATGAAACATCCTCTAGTGAGTGTCTACAAAGTTTGTTCAAATAATAGCCCTGGGGTCAAAATTGGCCCCGCCCCAGGGGTGTCATTGTTTTTAACTATATGTGTATAGTAAAAACTTAAAAAATCTTCTTTTAAAAAAACCAATGAGCTAGAGCTTAGATGTTTAGGATGAAACATCTTCTTATAGATGTCTACCAAGTTTGTTAAAAAAAAGCCCTTGGGTTGCAATTAGCCCTGCCGGGAGGGGGAGGAGCAGGGGAGAGATTATTGTTTTTCATTATATGTGTGTCGTAAAAACTTAACATCATGAAATATCTTCTAATGGGTGTCTTTCAAGTTTGTTAAGATAAAAGCCCTGGGGTTTAAACTGGCCCCGCTCCAGGTGCCTATATACAGGTGAGCGACCTCAGGGCCATCATGGCCCTCTTGTTTACATTTCTTTCTTAATAACATTGTGCCAGAAACAAACCGTTATTTTCTGTATTATACATGTATACACTCGAATATGTACTAAGTTGAAATACATAATCACTTCTATTGAAAATTAAAAAAGAAAAGATTGATGCATATATCTTACTATTTTTTACGGAATGCCGTTAGGGCCATCGCCTATGAATGTGTTGATCTAAAACGCAATAGTCGATAGTACGATGGTGAAAACGCGAAATCACGAAACTACGATGGTGAAAACGCGAAAGCACGATGATGAAAACGCGATAGTACGATGATGAAATCGCGACAGTACGATACTACGATGATGAAAACACGATAAACTATCGTGTTTTCACCATCGTACTGTCGCGTTTTCACCATCGTAGTTTCGTGATTTCGCGTTTTCATCATCGTACTGTCGAGTATCGCGTTTCAGATCAAACCATTCATAGGCGATGGCCCTAACGGCATTCCGGAATGCCGTTAGGGTCATCGCCTATGGATGTGTTAATCAGAAACGCGATAGTCGATAGTACGATGGTGAAAACACGAAATCGCGAAACTACGATGGTGAAAACGCGATAGTACGATGATGAAAACGCGATAGTACGATGATGAAATCACGACAGTACGATGGTGAAAACGCGATAGTACGATGATTGAAAACACGACAGTACGATGATGAAAACGCGATAGTACAATGGTGAAAACGCGATAGTACGATGGTGAAAACGCGATAGTACGATGATGAAAACACGACAGTACGATGATGAAAACGCGAAATCACGAAACTACGATGGTGAAAACGCGACAGTACGATGGTGAAAACACGATAGTTTATCGCGCTTTCATCATCGTAGTATCGTATTGTCGCGTTTTCATCATCGTACTTTCGCGTTTTCATCATCGTGTTTTCGCATTTTCACCATCGTAGTTTCGTGATTTCGCGTTTTCACCATCGTACTATCGACTATCGCGTTTCAGATCAACACATTCATAGGCAATGGCCCTAACCGCATTCCGTAATTTTTCCTTATAATTCATTATGCCACCTAAGTCGTGTGTATGTTTCATTAAATAGTTATAAATGCATTCTAGGCATTTTATTATTTGACTTTACACTGTTTTTGTGAAAATGACATGTGTATATGAAAGACATGTTTGTATAATAGCATGATTAGCATGATAAATATTGGATGGAAAGTTATGCAATATTTAAATACTGGATACTTTTTAGCCAATATTGGACATTTTCTTCACTTGTCTTAGTTCCATGAACAGATGCAAGAAAAATGACATAAACATGATTTAAAATTAGCTAGGTAATCAAAACGTCAACATGTTAAAATGCGTGATTTTGTCCTCTAATTTTCATTTCGTTCGTCTGGACATCAACAGAAGAACTGGAGTGGATATGAAACCCACTTTACTTTTCTAGTTCTGTTTTATGACATTCATGAAGAATACATATTTCATTACATGTAAAGATTTTAAATACACGTGCATAGTAGTTATATATCTGAAGCGCTCAAACTTTCACTGGTATTTACAGGACATCGATAATACTTCCCCTAGTTAACCTGTTTATGGCAGCATTCAGTGGATTAGTTTGTTTCTCTGTTCTTGGTAACATGGCTCATAGTTATGATGTTGATATCACGGAAGTTATCAATGCAGGTAATATAGCTTAATAACAATGAGAATAATATAATTATCAAAACTTTGTGTATGACAAAATGCGCTGTTCACGAATTAAATACATTCTTAGACATTAAAAAGTTGTTAGATGAGTTGCAAATTGTTTTGCTAAATTGCTTGAACATTTTTGGCACCATTCCTGTTATATGTTGAGCTTCGGATAAAAGTTTAATAGCTCAACGTGCTGTTTTCATATGATGATAAAAGATAGGACAGTGTGCACTTTTGTCTTGATGAGTGACTATCAAATCAGTTGCTTTTTTCTAATGTTTACAGGCATGTCAGTTGGTATAGTAGCCTACATTACGGCTTTGTCATCACTACCGTTCACGCAGATCTGGTCTGTCTGTTTTCTAGCAGCTATAATTCTAACAGGAATTAATGGATAGGTAAACCATAGTTTTCTGTTACCATGAGTTTACTTTGAATTCGGATAAAATTACTTTTTTTATGAATTAAGAGGTACGTGACCTTGTATAGATAAATAGAAGAGCCCGTGCTATGTTAACCCTACTAGATTGGTAAATATTCTTTAATTAGTTCTTATCAATCATAAATACTACGAACAAATGCACAAGTATTCAAATTGAAATGAACGATTTAAGAAGCGTTGATTTTCAGTCTCTTCGTATCAATTACTCCGGCAATTGACCGATTCCAACACTATCTAATCAGCACTCTGTTACACTTTGAAACTCCGATGCTCAGGAAATGGTCTTAGATGTTTATAAAATTCATTTCATTTCATGATTTCAGTTGGTTCCTATGGACATGATAATGCAGCTGATAGGAGATGTTTTCCCGAGGGTACGGCGCGGATTTCGGTTCCACGCACTTGTTGTTACAACAATTATTTTCTTTCTCTTTTCATTGCCTACGTGTACTGGGGTAAATATGTTTATATTTCATAGCACACACTGTAAACGTCCTAAACACAGGGGGCCAACATTTAATAGATCGCAAAAATACAGTGTTTCAATTAAATATACTGTCCCACTTACAATTGTTAGAGCAATTTTTATAACACTATTTTATTTTGAATGCATTGCTGTGTATGTCTTAATCTTTAGAAATTATGTAATAGAAAGAGCACCGAAACACGAGGTTATCTGATTTGTACGAGGGGGCGTAGCCCCCGAGTATTCATCAGATTACCGAGTGTTTTGGTTGTCTTTCTCTTTTGTAATCATAGTCAAACATACAAACACGCTCCTGTTGTCACAATATGAAACCCCGGCAAAAATGAACCAATGAACGAACATTCTGAATATGATATTTCTGTCGCTTTCCCTTTCTCTGCCGTCACAATTATGTAAACCCCAGCAAAAATGAGCCAATCAATGGGCATGTTCTGGAGTGCGGGTAACTAATACCCGCACTCCAGTTAACGCACTGTGCATGTATATGTATACGATGTAACCCTGACACATTTTCAACAGAAAGGTCTACAAACTATGATACAATTATATGTTAGTGCCTTGTAGTATATTTGATGTTGCCTAATGTCAAGAAACTAAACGAAACATAAAATATTATGCCGATTCTTAATTGCTTGAAATGGTATAATCAAAATACTGTTATACCTTTCAGTTATTAAATTATTTCTTGTCGTTTCATGCAGTCGTCTTTTACAGTATCTTGGGTATATCAAACATAATTAGGAACATATGGATGCTTAACCCTCATATGTACTACCGGCAACCATGGAAGTCGTTCGAAAATCCACATACAATTTAATTTTTAATTGCAGCAAATTTTGATGAACATCATAAGGTTTATTATCGTGTTAGATTGCATACGAAACGAAAAAGCACTTTTATTTCGGGTAGCGTCGCAAAGTCCTCAAAAACGATTTGAATCGATTTCCCCTATGTGGACCAAGGCGTGAAAAGGTAGCTTTGTGTAGAAAATGCAGTCTCTATTTTTTTTATTCAACAGTATTGTAACTCATATGTTGATATATTTATAAATGTTCATAAATGATTAGCTGTATAATAGCCTGTATTGCTTGCCAATGTTTATGAAAATCTGATAACTGCTCTTCTGTTTATATTTAACAGGCAGGTGTTTACATTTTCCTATGGACGGATTGGTACAATGGTGCCTGGATTGGTCCCATAGTTGCATTTATTCAGCTTGTGGTCGTTGCCTGGGTGTATGGTTTGTATATTTGACAAATTTTGATTTGATTACTGTTTTGGGATATATTTTCGAATTTACACTATTCTTAACCGAGAGACTGTACACGGCGCATATATATTGTGAAGTTATGTTAATAGTCGGAATATGAGTTGTGGAAATGAGATTATCCGTCGTTAGCTCGTTTAAATTCGGCAGCACTCGGCATTTTGCATTGCCACTAATCATCTTTTTCATTCTAATCATGCTCACGTTTTGTTGTTGTTGTTGTTTTCGTTTTTATACATATTAATATATTATGATAAATGAAAGAATATGCCAAATTTTAAAACTTTTGAACATTGGATATTTATATTTGAAAAATTCAAATGCTCTGATTATTGTATTGTTACATAGTAATTGATATTGCTTTTCACGTAAAAATGCCGGAGTATTTTTTCTAGGTATGGATAGATTTAGTGACGATGTACATATGATGATAGGCAGGCCTATACCTGGACTTCTTAGGTTCCTTACGGCATTTATAACACCTTTAATTGTCCTGGTAATTATTACATATGATACCATCTATAGCAGAATTATATTTTTTTATTTATTTACATTTTTTATTGAGACTAGATGTAGGATTTTTCAGATTTGACATTGTTTTCTTCAGATCAATATCAAATCAATGTACCATTTTCTTGCCTCAATGCCGGCCGGTGCAACTTTTTTTCTAAAACCGAAGTTTTGAGGTTAAACTTGTACATATCAAAATCTTCCGATGTCCCATTCAGTCTTAATGCTTTGAGGGAGACGTGCTCTATAAACGTTTCTTTCCTTTCTTAATTTTAAACTTAACCGTTGTTGTTTGTTGAAATTACAAAATATTGCTGGTGTGGCGTAATAATCACACGGGCGTAATATTACCACGGTTTATACTTTTTGAAAAAAAAAAACTATTCTATAACTTTGCAAAATAGTATGAATCTTAAGCATAGAACAATTATTTCGGAGCATGTATTCGAATATTCTGCCAATATTTATTTTCCTCAGAATTTATGCGTGATATTGCACAAAATCGTCCATTTGCTTTATCAGGAACAATCTTAAAAGCCCATTTTACCTCAAAATGCCGATATTTTTTAAGATTCTATATATATTTATCGTGCCTTGTTACAGTTTGAAGAAAGTTTTTCAATGCACATACAGCTGAACCATCTTTTACTTCATTTGTGTTTTAGAAATTTGTAAACTGAAAGTGATTTCTAATTTTTGTATGAATATTAATAAACAACCTTTCACAATTGCTCCCTTTATTCCGAATTAATTCACAATCCGCTCAGTCACAGATATTCTATGTGTAAACATTTGTAGCCATATCAGTCATTTCCGAAGCTTTATGTGCCTTTGAATGTCATATTTTTATAATATGTGAAATATTTACAGAATATTACCGCTCTTATAGAAAGCAAACTTAACATTTACCAATATATTTTCCTTCAGATTATATTTTTGGTAAGTTGTGTGAAATATGTACCGCCGTCATACGGGAGTTACACATATTCTTCAACAGCTCGAGTTATGGGCTGGCTGAGCGTTGCTATAGTAATGAGCCCCATGGTAGTTCAAGGACTTTACACAGTAAATACATCAAAGGAGGCTTCGTATTGGAAGGTATTAGATTAATTCAACATATTTTTAGAACTAAAAGATAAGCATTTTACATCATTTTCTCAACATAGATGTTAAATATTTGGAGACATTTTCAATGAGTTTGGAATTTGTAGTAATCTTTATGTGCAAGAGATTTAGATTTTTTGGCTTTTCCATATAGGAAGCAGAGTTTTAGTGTTCTTACATATTTGAGGTTTTAATTGTTTTCAGAAACTAAAGCAACATCTCAGGCCCGTAGAAAGCTGGGGACCATGTGAAGAAGAATTTCAAGGACAGTTTCATAGCAACAAAGCTAAATATAGAAACAGATCATGGAAGGATCTTATATATTACAATATGTTTGGCAAATACCCGGCGCCATGTCCAATATCTACGAACAAAAACCAAGAGCTGGATTGCTTAAATAAATCTTGATGTAGACTTATGAGTATGACACGTGCATATCATCATAGAACATTCATTATCAGACACATGCCCGTCTTTTGATTAAAACAGTTGTATATATATTTTATTATAAAATAGACCCAGTGTTAGATAAATAATGTAATGGTTTGGTTTTCCGTTTAATTGTTAATAGATTACCGGTACTCATCAAACAAATTTATATTTGTAAATGATGTGGATTTTTTCTCTCAATCGAACACAATTTCTTTGTTCAGTACCTATGCATGTTCATTCTATGTATGCTAATTAATAAACTTCTGGATTTCTTAAATACTAGTAGCTTATAAAATATAATACATGACATCCCCTCACTATAAGCCAAAGCTAAGGCATGCCAAAAACAAAGTATAAGGTGTTATGATGCCTCAGAAACAAGAACGATGTATATTATTTTCCTTTTTTTTAGAAAGTTTTATAAAATTCAATGTTTGAAAACATGTTAGATACTTATGAAGATGCTAAAGAAAGTAGCTGAATGTGACTTTATTTGTCATAAACGAAGGAAAACCAAATATTTCACAGTTTTAATACTAAATCACTATATCTGAGTGTATTAAGTACTAAAAAGTACAACAGACACAAAAGATGGTTCATGTAAATGGCTAATGAGTAACTTTTAAGTTTTGGAAACTATGAGAGAAAACAAATGGAGCTTATGAGAAATAAGAATGAAAGAGTTTCTGGGGCTTTTGTAATTTTGTAAACTACTTTTCAAACAGCAACTTTAACTAGACGTGGACATTATTTCAACTGTAGAAGTCCATTGTGTGTCTGTCGTATGTGAGTACACAAGGAAACGTTCAAGATTTTGAATTTTGATTTTTGTACAAGACTTATAAAGAGACTAGATTGTTTTGTAAGGAAACAAATTCTTCCGTGAGAAACGATGATATTTGTACAAAAATTACGTCATATCTTTTTTGTTTTGATATTTGTTGATATTTGTTCGTTTTTCATATGGCATATTATATTAAGGGAACTACATATTAAAGTTATAATACCGTTCAACGATGATATTTTACCCTACAACTTAGTTTTCAGAAATTATCACCTAAATCATAAGTATATCCTCATTAATGATGAACTGCTATACAATTTTAATCTTATTTCGCCGAAACACTCGGATGCAACTGGATATAATATCGCCAGTTTTTGAAATCCCCGCCCTTTGTAAAAGCTCTCGGGCCCGATCGGTTTCATTCGGAATTAACTCATTTGCATACGGAAAAGTTCGGAAATGCTATAATTAGAAACAAGTTCGGAAACGCTATAATTAGAAACGTCAACAAACTTGCGACCCCGATATTAGGAGATATAATATAAATGACGGATGCAATTTTATTTTATGTTTTGTAATTAATAAACGATATGAAAAGCTATTTATTAGCTAAGGAATGTAGCTTATATCCTCGTAACGCGTTACGAAACAATCGGAAAAAGAACAAAGTCTAAGACTCTCACTAGATCTACAAACAAGAAGATGGAGCGTTGGTCATGTCTATGTCGTACGGTTGCTGTGGTTATTTGAAATCGGTAAATTAGCCGTTCTTTATGATCGGTTAGTACCAGAAATAATACGTACCTATTGCCAAGCTTCCATCGTAGTAATATGGCATACAGTAGTGTGCGTCATGTAAATATAATGAAACACAGACACTTGGGCTTTGGTGCTCAATCTGTATTATATTATATATATACATGTTGAAATATGATTTTTTTTCAAAACGGCTTATATTAAGTTTTTTTTTGTGGATTTTAAAGGCGTTTTGAGCTCCAAACCAAAGTGTCTGTGTTAGGAAATTATAATGAAAAGAAATATAATTTGGCAATCTGGTGTAATAACCTGTATCTATGCAGTGTTACCAGATTAAATAACCAGTCAACTGCATGCAAAAGCCAATACATATTAATTAAACATCTACAGACTCAACCGTTTGATATATGATAATGTATAATTATACTTCAATTTATAAGCAAACAATTTAAGAATGGAAAAAGGACCAAGTTAAAGTTCTGATGCCTATGATTTTGAAAATGATCACTCAAGACCTGATTTTTATGTTAGCCTTTTGTAAAAGTGCACATTATGGAAAATAATGTACTAATGAGAATTTTATTCCAATACAAACACAGTGCAACCTGTGTAAATATTATTCTGTTAACAATGAACAGTTGCATTCCACTGAAAATAAGATTGCCAAGAATTAAATCCTAATCTCTGGATTATGTACACCGGTATGGCATAAAACCATAAATTTCACCACTTTATGTTCAAATGTTGAATTCTGCTAAAGCTGGTGCTAGGGGGGCATGGAAGGTAACTTGCACTTTCCAACAGGCTCACCAAATAGAGCCTGCATCAGTTTCAATTTTGTCATTTTGGGCTTTCTGCAGGAATTCTTTATTTCTCTATTTTCTGATGTCAAATGTACTTTTTTAAAATTCAAATAAGATCACAGATTGTAACAATGTTTTACAAATACCTTTCAATGTTAATTTACACTCCACTTCTTTTAGCACGTTTCATGACACATTTTGGAATGTTGTTAAAATAACAAAAACACAGATAAATTGAAACATGTATTTGTCAGAACATTGGCAGTAAAACAACAATAAAATATTTTCAAATGAACAGCATATCTTCTTTTTCTTACTCTTAAAATTGTACACCAGTGACTTCTTTACAGGTATAGTTTTATTTTTTATTCAATCCATGCTGTCTTAACAGGAAGAGAAAGTGTGAAGATGGCCAATATTGTAGAAGGAAATAGATAATATCTTAATTCCAACCAAATTGTATGAACTTGAGCTAACCCCTTATGGGTTTCTGGTGATGCAGGATATTATGCTTAAGCCATTGCGACCTTAGACCTTATTAACTCCAAACTAATGCTTAATTACTAATCTAAGCAATGTCCCTGGAAATGTTCAAAACCTTGGGACAATGAGTTTACATGTCACTGGGACCTTGAACTTATAATCAAATGGACCAATCTTAAAACTAAAGGCAATCAGAATTTTTCCTTCTGAGTTACATAAACTATACCTTACAATGTTACACATATTTAAAGGAAGTTAAACTTTATGCCATCTTGACCTTTAAATCTAATTTCCTCAAAATCAGTTGGTGCCATTATCTGGGGAAGGGCAATGTTCCTACCAAGCCTAAAAACTTAGGCTTACCCCTGAATGTAAAATATTGTTTGTTCCCCACTCCCGCGACCTACCCACAAATAGCACAGCTACCTAAAATATCTTATTGCCCAGGATTTGTTTACTAAAATGAAATCAGAGTGTCAATGAGAATGACATCTCTTTAACTGTCTCGTGATTTTTTAATTGTAAATATACAAATGTTGGGATATTTGTTGATTGAAACTGAAAATATGGTTTTAAATTTTCAAGTAAAACAGATGCTTTCATGCATTCACAATTTGTTTGAACTACATATAATTTTAATGAAAAATAAGACAAGACAAACATTTTGAATAACTAGGAATGTGTCCATAGGACACGGGTCCCCCCCCCCCCCCCTACGCACCACTGTTCTGTCAATCTTATGACTCTAGGTCAAATATTTTTTGAAAACTAAAAATCTTTTACTAAGTAAAGGGCAAGAACTTTACAAATACTGAATAAATTCACAAGTAAACCCCAAGGTGCATAAGTACACATGCTGACCAACATTCTTTTAAACATTCAGGCCTACAAGTGATATACTTTTTGAGCTATGCATGAACAAGTTGAAAATTGTAAATTATTCGATAAAGTAAAGTGAACCTGTAGTAGCCACTCCTATATTGTCTTTCTTATTTATATTTTATCCCTGTAGGATATTAATTATGGAGTTAAATGATAAATTATTTATGTTTGGCTGAATGAAATGAAAGAAAACATAAATATTTTTTTAGCTATGCATGAACAAGTTAAAAATTGTAAATTTATACTACTGTAAGTCAAGGGCAATAACTCTAACTAAACTGAAAAAAATCCACATAAAAGTCCCAGGTTCATAGCTTCACAGTGATGTAAATCATTATTCCTGTAATTTAGTGATGTTGATCATTATTCCTGTAAAGTTGGTTGATTCTCACTCAAGCACTCAAGGAACAAATAACAACATAATGAAACGTTTTTTACTAAGTCAAGGGAAATAACTCTACAAATACTGGATAAATCCACAAGCCAAACCCCAGGTGCAAAACTAAATATGCTGAGCAACCTTCCCGTAAGGTTTAATGACTCTATGTCAAATCCTTTTTGAGTTACATGTGACACAAGTTGAAAACTGCAAAATTTTACCAAGTCAAGGGCAATAACTCTAAAAATCCTAAATAACAAGGATTTTATATAAAATATGCCCCTATGTCATTGGTCTAATATGCTAGATTGGACTACAAACAATTCATGGACTAATAACAACTAGATCTCCGCGAGTCAGATGTGTTGCCTTGTTAAACAATATAGTTTAAGAGAAATGGCCAAGAAAAAAATAAAATATGAAAATTAACACAGGGCAATAAAGTTAAAGCCACTAATAGCAAATAACAAGCAAAGCCAAAATTTAGACATTTAACCTTGAAGGTCAAGGTCAATTATGAATGAAGGCCAAGGTTTGACCATACACCAAGAACTTTAAAAGTTATGAACAAGGTTCAAGTTTGCAGAAGGCAACGGCAGCAACCTCTATTTCTTTTTTCAAAAAAAAAAAGAAAAGCTGAGCTAAAGTGAATGACATAGTACATGTATATCAAAAGATATAATTGAATAATACTTTTAACTTTGTTGCTACATTAAAGCTCATAGCAGCACTTATAGTTTAATAGATTGGATAATAGTTTGCACTTGTATAAAAAGTAGTCATTTTTCTGACAAAATATTAAAAACAGACCTTGAGTCATGACAAATGAATCAAGAGAATTTTTTTCGAAACAAGATAGATACAGTGCCATATCTAAAAAGATATTTCATAAAACTATCATGAATACCAGGTGTTCAATGTCAGCTTAAATATGTTTGAATCGTTGGGCAATCAGTGTAACACACTTTTTATCATTCTTTTCCATAAAATGTCAATCATATCTTGATTTATGTTCCTCATGAATGGCTCGGGTAGGCTTCGGGCTAACTTGCGCCAAATGTTTTGAAAGTCTGTGGGGGTCATCTTCCTCTAACTTTCTATTTTATATATCCCCTCCATGTCACTAATTTTCAGAGTTATAGCATCATGAAAAATGGTATAATGATACTTTTTCTTCTTCTTCAATTCATCCAGACTCGCTGAAGTCTGAAATGGAGATTAACAAGCCTGTTATAACAAAAATCATAAGTGTATACAATTCTCAAAATGCAGTACATGTAATTATGTCCTCAAAATTTATTAGTCAGGTTATTCAGAGACTGCAAAATCTCTTTTGATTGAAATTAATATTATATAGGCAATATAAATGCATAGTGATCACACTTTCAATAACTAGAAATGTGTCATCATGCCACGGATGCCCCCCACATGCAGCCAAAATTTCAGATGTTATAATATTTAGTTTCAAATTTGTTTGCACAAACTATTGTTTTCATTTTAAGTTCAAAGCCCTTAAAACTTTTCAATGTTAACACAAACCATTTTCATACAATGTTCAAGACACTGAAATTATTCAGTCTTAACCTTTTGAAAATAGCATATTTCATATTTGTAGCCAAAATAATGGCTACATACATTTCCATAAAAGTATGAGTGCTGAAACTGAAAGTTCAAAATTTTTCCGATATTCAAGAAAGATAAGTTTGTCCAAAATCATTGAACCACGACCAAATTCAAACTAAAACTGCTTATTCCTAAGATGTATCTATATTATTTTCAAAGCGAAAGGGACATAACTCTGCCAAAAATCATCGAACCATGACCAAATTCCAACTTGACCTGCCCATTCCTTTGACATACCCGTATGTCAAATTTGAGTTAAATATGTAACACTGTTGGGTAGATAATGAACAGAAACTGTAAATTTCATATTATTTTTAAAGTGAAAGGGGCATTACTCCGCCAAAAATCATTGAACCATGACCAAATTCGAACTTGGCCTGGGCATTCCAAAAACATATCCATATGTCAAATTTGAGTTGAATGTGTTGTACTGTTGGGGAGATAATAAACAGAAACTGAAAATTTCATATTATTTTCAAAGTAAAAGGAGCATAACTCTGCCAAAAATCATCGAACCATGACCAAATTCGAACTTGACCTGTTTTTTTCTCATGACATATCCATATGTCAAATTTGAGTTGAATGTGTTGTACCATTTGGGAGATAATGAACGGAAACTGAAAATTTCATATTATTAAAAAGGGGCATAACTCTGCCAAAAATCATCAAACCATGACCAAATTCGAACTTGACCTGTATTTTCTTATGACATATCCATATGTCAAATTTGAGTTGAATGTGTTGTACCGTTGGGAAGATAATGAACGGAAACTGAAAATTTCATATTATTTTCAAAGTAAAAGGGGCATTACTCTGCCAAAAATCATTGAACCATGACCAAATTCGAACATGACCTGTATTTTCTCATGACATATCCATATGTCAAATTTGAATTGAATGTGTTGTACCGTTGGGGAGATAATGAACGGAAACTGAAAATTTCATATTATTTTCAAAGTAAAAGGGGCATAACTCTGCCAAAAATCATTGAACCATGACCAAATTCGCACTTGACCTGTATTTTGTCATGACATATCCATATGTCAAATTTGAGTTGAATATGTGCAACGGTTACTAAGATAATGAACGGAAACTGATGATGACGGATTGACAGAATGACGGAATGACGGAACAGGGTAACACTATATGCCCCGGCCATTACATGGCGGGGGCATAAAAATATCTTATAATTCATAGAGGCAGGAACATTTAATACTAAGATATGCAGCATTTATATTCATATGCAAAAATGAAGAAACAAATGTTGAGAATCTATATGCCCAAAGAAGATAAAGCACAACATTTTATTTAGGTTTTGCCTCTTTATATGTTTGAAGAACTGAAATCTTTCTATTGAAATAAACAAAGAAACATGCTACATCCATATTAGACTCAGTACAGAGTACATCTATGTTGAACATTATTATAGTTCCAAACAATTCACTTTATTCACACAAACTGGACACTGTTTTCTTTCATTCTGTAAAATTGTGAAACATTACATGTTTGAGTTTTGTAAGTAGCATACCTAACAGATCCCCCTTGTTGGTGATGTATGGTCTATTTCCATGTATATTATAATCTATGGCTGCAAGAAGATTGTGCACTCTATAAACAGGTGGTGTGTAAGCAAATCTTTTGGTACAATACATCAAGATGTGCTGGTGAAGCCCTTCCATGCCAGCTGTACTTCTAAAAATGAATACAAATAATGGAAAAGATATTTTCATTTAAATGATTTTAGTAAGGAAAAATCCTTTAACATTAACATATTCATATGCTAGATATAATCTCTGTATGTAAATAATTATCTTTGAAAAGATTTTTCACAGCTCTATCCTTCAATTGATAAGTGCAATAAAGGTGCCAATTAATTTATACATAATGGTTGTAGGTCCATTTGCGTTAACATATAAAGGTGCTGTAAACATTGAACATTCTATAATCAATAGACATATGAGCTTTGTATTAATCAGGACATATACTCCTTTTCCAGTTAGGAAAATAAATCCTTTTAAAAATTTCACTCCAACTGTTAGCATATCTTAACAAAGATAGACATATCTCCTTTGCAGAATTAATGGTTCCAACATTGGAGCCATTGGCTTCAACTTTTTTGATTGGCCAATCTGGTGGTGCAAACTAAAATTGCTCCAGGGGGAACCCTGTCAATATAAATTTCTTTTATTGTACCTGATGAGAACATACCTGCAGTTGAGATATTATGTCATCTTATTCAGAACACCAGCAAGATCTTTCAGACTATGTGCATCTTATTTCCTTTGCAGCCATGGTTTGTTATTGTTTCTAATGGGCCATGATTGTACTAGGCATTGGTGTATTCCATCATCTGAAAACAGAATCCATTCATGCTCAATAACTATAAGATTGATGCAGACACTAAAATATATAATTCCCTGAAATAAAATATCAAGACAAATAAGCATGCATTAAAAAATGGCAAAGAAGTCAGCCTTCAACAAGTTTCATGAAACATTACTAAGCATTTCACATTTATCTTACATATAAAATGCTTACCATAAACCTATGAAGTATTCCACATTATGCATCAAAACATCTTGCATGCATTAATTTTCTTGCAACAAATGACAATTATGTATTGCTATCTAGAATTTTATCTAAATATTTCTTGAGCAACAGAATAATCATATAAAAATATCAAACATTCAAACAAAATCAAATATATAATAATTGTTTACTTACCATGAATAGTTTATAGTCTGTAGCAGTTTTATAACTAAACCAGAAATGAATGGTTGTGTCTCAATTCAACTCCAAAAGGATTTCATTGGCTTTCTTTAGTGCTACCTGAAGATTAACCCATAACTTGCTTAAGATTTAGAAGAAAAAAAATCAATTGTGGAATTCCTTTTCATTTTAGCGAAAAATATTCTACATAAGAATTGTATATATTCAGTCTTCACCAACATTTACTATAGGACATGAATCTGCCCTTGTTATTAACAACAAATACAGCAGTATTGCATGCAGTGATAACACCAGTCTATTAAAAATTCTTAGTTTAAAAGGGATATAACTTAAAAAAATATTGCTTTCACGGTCATTGAATTTAAGATTTTGAATTTACTGGCCCCAATTCCCGTTTTGAATTTATTTTACTATATATTTAACTACATTTTCTTAAAATTTACACTGGCCCAAACTAATTTTCACTGGCCATGGGCCACCGGGCCAGTGCTAAATTCAATGACTGCTTTCATAAGAACATGTATGCTCCCCTGTTTAACAATTACACTTTGTCCTGATAAGCAAGTCTTTCAAGTTTTATGTTGATACATTTCAAAATATTTAAATAATGCAATTGTATGCCAACATAGCAATCTGACATAGAATGTAATAGCTTTGAAAAAAAAAAGCTAGAAATTAGTAATTTATGATGTTTGATTGTAACTAAGAAAGTATACTCCACTTTTGAGGAATCTGTAACTATTTTGTTGTATGGTCTGAGAATTGACTATATAACAGAATCCTTTCCAAAAACCATATATGAGCCGCGTCACGACAAAACCAACATAGTGCGTTTGCGACCAGCATGGATCCAGACCAGCCTGCGCATCCGCGCAGTCTGTTCAGGATCCATGCTGTTCGCTATCAGTTTCTCTACTTGTTATAGGGTTTGTAAGCGAACAACATGGATCCTGATCAGACTGCGCGGATGCGCAGTCTGGTCTGGATCCATGCTGGTCGCAAACCCATTATGTTGGTTTTGTCATGACGCGGCTCATATATATTTTTTCACAAGTGGATTTAAGACCTACAGTATAATGACCCTTTTTTATTTTTTCACCTCAGTGAACAATTACCTATAATAATATTATGGAGTCATACAAATATCAAACTCATCATTTAAAATGACACCAAAATCTTTCAATTGGACCAAAATTAACCATGTAATGCATGTTTTTAGTCCCCTACCGGTTTACCGGAGGGGACTTTAGGTTAACCCTCCGTCCGTCTGTCCGTCTGTCCGTCCGTCAGTCCGTCCGTCTGTCCGTCCGTCAGTCCGTCCGTCCACAAAACTGGATCCCGCGATAACGCAAAAAGTACTGAAAATATTTTAATGAAACTTGATATATTGATAGATGGCAGTATGGAGATTATGCACGTCTTTTTCTTTTCTTCCTATGTTGAAAATTCTGGTTGCTATGGCAACAAATAGACTGAAAATATGGCAAATTTTACACATAACCTGGATCCCGCGATACCGCAAAAAGTACTGAAAATATTTTTATGAAACTTGATATATGGATAGATGGCAGTATGGAGATTATGCACGTCTTTTTCTTTTTTTTCCTATGCAGAAAATTCTGGGTTGCTATGGCAACAAATAGACTGAAAATATGGCAAATTTTACACATAACCTGGATCCAGCGATACCGCAAAAAGTACTGAAAATATTTTTATGAAACTTGATATATGGATAGAAGGCAGTATGGAGATTATGCACATTTTTTTCTTTTTTTCCTACGCTGAAAATTCTGGTTGCTATGGCAACAAATAGGCTGAAAATATGGCAAATTTTACACATAACCTGGATCCAGTGATAACGCAAAAATTACTGAAAATATTTTTATGAAACTTGACATATTGGTAGATGGCAGTATGGAAATTATGCACATTCTTTTCTTATCTTCCTGTATTGAAAATTCTGGTTGCTATGGCAACAAATAGACTGAATTTCAAGATTTCTGATTCTAGTTTTTCAGTTTTTTCACTATAAGTTCTTTATTTCTTAAGGTATTTTCTTCAAACTTTAAATATAAGTTGCTAGTCACCAACCACATCATATGTGACAAAGTTTACAACTCACAAAATTTATCAGAATTACCTCCCTGGAACTTGAAATTTTCATGAAAAAAACATTGTTTTTAGCTCACCTGTCACAAAGTGACAGGGTGAGCTTTTGTGATCGCTTTTTGTCCGGCGTCCGTCGTCCGTCCGTCGTCCGTAAACTTTTACTTTAAATGACATCTCCTCATAAACCACAAGGCCAATTTCATCCAAACTTCACAGGAATGTTCCTTTGGTGGTCACCTTTAAAAATTGTTCAAAGAATTTAATTCCATGCAGAACTCTGGTTGCCATGGCAACCGAAAGAAAAAACTTTAAATGTCTTCTTTTAAAAAACCCTAAGAGCTAGAGCTTAGATATTTGGCATGAAACATCTTCTAGTGAGTGTCTACCAAGTTTGTTCAAATAAAAGCCCCGGGGTCAAAATTGGCCCCGCCCCAGGGGGTCATTGATTTTCCCTATATGCATATAGTAAAAACTTGAAAATTCTTCTTTTAAAGAACCCAAAGAGCTAGAGCTAAGATATTTAGCATGAAACATGTTCTAATGGGTGTCTACCAAGTTTGTTCAAATAAAAGCCCTGGGGTCAGAATTGGCCCCGCCCCAGGGGGTCATTGATTTTCCCTATATGCATATAGTAAAAACTTAAAAATCTTCTTTTAAAGAACCCAAAGAGCTAGAGCTAAGATATTAAGCATGAAACATCTTCTAGTGAGTGTCTACCAAGTTTGTTCAAATTAAAGCCCTGGGGTCAAAATTGGCCCCATTCCGGGGGGTCATTGATTTTCCCTATATGCATATAGTAAAAACTTAAAAAATCTTCTTTTAAAGAACCATAAGAGCTAGAGCTTAGATATTTGGCATGAAACATCTTCTAGTGAGTGTCTACCAAGTTTGTTCAAATAAAAGCCCTGGGGTCAAAATTGACCCCGCCCCAGGGGGTCATAGATTTTACCTATATGCATATAGTAAAAACTTAAAAAATCTTCTTTTAAAGAACCCAAAGAGCTAGAGCTAAGATATTTAGCATGAAACATCTTCTAATGAGTGTCTACCAAGTATTTTCAAATAAAAGCCCTGGGATCAAAACTGGCCCCGCCCGGGGGGGGGGGTCATTGATTTTCCTTATATGTGTATAGCAAAAACTTAAAAATCTTCTTTGAAAAAAACCCAAATAGCTAGAGTTTAGATATTAAGCATGAAACATCTTTAAGTAAATATCTATAAAGTTTGTTCAAATAAAAGCCCGGAGGTTCAAAACTGGCCCTGCCCCAGGGGTGTCATTGTTTTTAACTATATGTGTATAGTAAAAACTTTAAAAATCTTCTTTTAAAAAACCCAATGAGCTAGCACTTAGATGTTTAGCATGAAACATCTTCTTATGGGTGTCTACCAAGTCTGTTCAAATAAACAAATAAAAGCCCTTAGGTAAAAATTGGCCCGGGGGTGGGGGGGCCTATATACAGGTGAGCGACCTCAGGGCCATCATGGCCCTCTTGTTTTTAATAACTTCTTTTTTTTCTGAACGTATCTACTTCAAACTTCATATAAATGTTTCTTATTATCACTCAACATTTGTGAGTGTTCAATACTCTAGCAAGACTATTTCCAGAATTATGCCCCTTTTGAACTTGACTTTTTTTTGAGAAATTGGTAATTTTCTTTAATTATGATAGGATTTTCTTCAAACTCCCACATCATAATATGACAATAATATGACAAGGTTTATAAATCTAGCATCCTTATTTCCAGAATTATCTCCTCCTTAAACTTTTTATTTTTCCTATTCGTTCTTTTAACTTTCATTTACTTCAAATTCAAAATAAACATTCAATATTCATACCTTCATTACTAATTGTTCTTTGTTACGCTCACATCATGTATGGCATCGTTATCTCCTTTTTTTTAAATTTTGCTTTAAAAATGTTATATTTTGATAACAGGGATGTTTAAAAAATAACTTTAGAGTGTCCTTCAGTCTGTCTGTCTGTCTGTACATAAAAACTGTTCACTGTGATCACTTAAAATAGAAACATAAGTGAATGCCAGGCCAATGGCCCTTCAGAATGTTGCTTGGGCTCTTACCGGTAGGGGACTTATGGATTGCTTGCAATACTATGATAATTGCTTGTTTTTTCTTCTTCTAATACAGTATTATATGCCACTTAAAAAATGTCAAAATTGTTTAATATTTAAATCATATGAATATCTGATCATGATATATATGGATCACATGTTGACATGTTTATATCCATTAATTGGTTCAATAAACTAATAAAAAAACATGAATTCAGCAGTATTTAAGATTAATCAGTTTTTATATGAATTATATAAGTAAATTAGTTATGCAAGTATATAGTTATATAGCAATTTTGAAAGGTATTATTATAACCTGTCACTTTCGACAAAAATGGTGTACTTACTCTCCTCTGCATATGCACTGAAGTCCAGGTCATCTTTGATGTCCCTGGTAGTGGTATTGCAACACATGATGATGATGAAATTGACTTATTTCTGTAATTGAAAATATAGCATACTAGTACCATGGCCTAAAATCTTGACTTTTCAAACCAATTACAATACATGAATTGCTGCACTGCTTATAAGGAAGAAGGGTTGTCAATAAGAATTATCTTACGTTTCCAGCACAATTATGGTTATTGTCCATGATTATTTTTCAAATTGTGAAATGCTGAAATTTTACTGCAAAAATGATTCAAATGAGACAAAAATATTGATTTTTGTGCGATTTTCCAGACAACATTTTATTCTTTCTACTTTATTTCTTTGAAGATTCAACAACCCTGGATAGTAGATCAATATATCAGACTTACGGGCTTGTTACACAGGGGATTCTGTCATTTTTTTCCTTTACCACTATATATATAATATATATTTAATACAATAATGACAGATTTCCCTGTGGCTTGTTATTGCTTAAATGTCGGTCAAGGTTGCCCAAAAGCAAAAATATCTCAAAATCAAAGGACGTCACATTTATAGGACTACCCTTGATAGTTGAACATGCTTTGAAGAAATGCCTGTTCTGCTAGTCAATAGTTCTAACCCTTTTTGAGACACATGTGGCTAATCTATTTCACAGCATTGTAGTTACTATAGTACAGTACAGCTTACAGTAAAAAACAATAATGTGATTGGAAAATAAAATTTATTCAAAATATAATTTTGTTGTGTCTTAAATGATTCTTAAAAGATAGTGATTGGTCATCTTAAACGATATTACAATGGTTACAATGAACATACGCCATAAAATTGTACAGGATTAGGCTCAGCCGATCTTTTATTTAGGAAGTGGCTAGCCGTACGGGCCCGTACGGCTAGCCAAAAGTTCTAGCCGTACGTGAGTCACGTACGACTAGCCAGGACTCACTGTATTGTCTAGCCGTACGGCACTTTTCAAAATTATATGGAAGTCGAACATGCATATGTTATTTTATGCCTCATGATTATGGTTTGTTGTTTTATTTGTATGAAAGGTGAACTTTTGTTAATTAAGCACAATCATGGATCGAATAAATAATTAATGATCGGAGTGGATAAAAAGAACATTGAAAAAAAAAAAAAAAAAAAAAGGTGAAATGCAAAATAGATTCTAATTGTATAATTTTCAAATACAGTAGATAAATATCGAACATTAAAGCACAATCAATTAATTAGCCTTAATTAAAGCCTACCCAGGGACTGACAATAGAATTTTAAAATGTCAGAGTTTCACGAAACATGCAAACTTTCCTTATGTTAACAAACTTCTATACCGTCGGTACTTGAGGCAATTTCAGAGCCAAACAACAATAATTTTCGTTTTTTTGTTTCATTTTAAAGGTGTCGAAAATTAAACTTGATGAAACAAAAAAGGATTATCAAAATTTGTAAACTATTTCAATTGATGTTATTTAACTGCGACCAAATGCGTATTTTTTCTCAACGTCTTGAGATGACAAAGATCGATATTTGTTCTTTTTTACTGTAGCCAACAAGTCGATTAATCTCTACAAAGTAAACATACGAAGACAATTGCTGTTTCTTGGTTCATAAAATAACATATGCATTTTCGACTTCCATATAATTTTGAAAATGCCGTACGGCTAGCCAATACAGTGTGTCCTGGCTAGTCGTACGTGACTCACGTACGGCTAGAACTTTTGGCTAGCCGTACGAGCCCGTACGGCTAGCCACTTCCTTTTATTTAACCTGTTATTGTTAACAATTTATTGGTACGAAAATTACAGTGAACGAAAACTTGATACACAGACGTAGCCTAATTAATTCGGCGTGAACGGTTTGACCCATTTTACAGACTTTTTTTTTCTTACTGTCAAACCGTTAGGAAAAAAGACAGCGCCCGTCCAAAATTATCTCGGTGTCTCTTTGACAAGTCTAATTAGTTGGACTAACACAGACGTGGATCGGCAAGCTTAATTTCTTTATCATAAGTCAAAACCATCGTAAAACCTATAACACAATATCTGTGTTTATATATTCGTAGGTGAAATTTTTCTATATGTAGATCTAAGACCAAGAAAAAATTAAATGCAAAGTTGAATTAACAAAAACGATGACCACCTCACCTGTCAATCAGATAACAACTTCACGGTCGCTTTTGGTTTTAATTACCCTTTTTAGAACTTTTCATCGCTTTGAATCACTACCGGAGTATATCCTTGATTGAATTAAATCACAGTTTCTTCCCACTTTTCGCTTTTTCCTTTTCCAATCTCAAAATTTATTTCTCGTATAAAACACCTTTCGTATTGTCCGCCATTATTTTGGTTTGGTAAATCATATCACGTGACTCAGATCCGAACATTTACGGAAATAATCGAAGGGCTTCCCGCCAAAATATAAATCTTATTTGACTAACCCAGTCAAATAAGAAAATGCATTTTTTAGAATGGTCAGAAATGTTACGGAGAGCGTTTCTAAGTTGGAAAACTTTGTCAATACTTGTTAAATAATGCATTTGATAACAATAAGGCGTTAATTTGACAATCTGTTTTGATGAATTTGACCAGGAATATAACTTTAAAGATATTGTATATAAGAAACAGAATCATTTGTATAACAACCTTTGTAAAGAACACTCGCGACAAAAATAAAGACATCTATGCGGAACCAGATTCAGTTCAAGTTTTATACATTTCTGAGAATAATCTTAATATAGGTTATAGGTTTTATACAGTTTTAAGAAATTAGTTTCTTAAAATTCTATATATAACCTTTAACCGACTTACAGTTAGCCCCGCCTATTCAAATTGATTACATTATGCAATTGGCGGATTCCCTTAAACCAGCCCATTTAACTTATAAATTTGATACATACAGTTGCGTTACAGCACTGTATGGTAAATATTTCAGCATTTAAACAAAATATAGCGATTTCATTGGCAGACAAACTTTGGGAACTATGCAAGAGGGTATGTTGTTGTGCTAACTCCCTTGTGACCACTCTGCCACATTATTACACATAACATTTAAGTACCGCATAACCCTTTTAATGCCAGAAGTTTTATCATAAAGGCAAGTGAATTATTGTATACTTTTATGGAAAAAGTTTTATAAAGTTAAGATAAAAAGATAAATTGTGTTGCAACCTCAAATGTACATACAGTCATGTAGGTATTTGTAAAGCAGTTAATATATAACTGACAAAACAGTAGATTGTTAGATTGTGGGGCATCCGTGTCATATGGACTCATTTAGACTACTTTATTATTTAAATCAGATAAACTTTTATCTTAAATGATTAAATATCATTGTACAAATAATTCCACACAAATAATAAATGTAAGTACACAAGTTTGCACAAATTTGGCAGGTGCCACTACTAGGTCAAATGAGGCCCGAAATATATGATAGCCATCTACTTTTTCAGAATTCTTTTTCTGTTGTAACACTGTTTAAATTCACCACTTTAAAAACTCCAGATTACTGGTGTGTAGTACTACGCCAACAAATGAGTTCCTGGAGAATAGGGGGCAGGGGACCTAAAATGAACAATTTTGTATTTCAGTCTAGCCAGAAACACAATTCAAAATATTTCAAAATCTGTTTCACAGGCAGATTCAATGATATATGACATACATTGAAGAAAATAAAAGTTTGCATGCATTCACGAGTTCGAAAATCTAGCTAAACGACGTTTTCCGGTACTTTCTGTACATAGCTCTGGGGAATTCACCCAACTAACGCTATATGTTTTTGGCTTTTTTAATTAAAGTGAAATAAAACGTTTTTTTTTCTTTGTAAAAGATAATTAAGTATTATTCATTGAATGAATTATTCCATACAATATATAAACGTAAATACACAGGTTTACGCAAAAAATGTCTTTATTTATCATAGAAGATCCCACAACGACTCTTTTAATTCTATTGATTTTTATTATAAACACTATATAAACCTAAAAACGGTGTTTAGCTAGGTTTTTTTTGAAAAGGTCAATTGCTTCCTAAAGAAATGGCAGCCAAGCCAAATTGACAACTAAGATATACTAAAATGGGCAATCTTCATGAAGGTGCAGATACTCCAGAATCCGCCCGATTCCTTTAAAAATGTCACTTACACACAGTGCATTCAATAGCATTTTCAAAAATGACCAATAAAGTGTCTGTCATACGTTTAGATTTTTCACAAAATTTATCCAAAATTTCTTACCTGTTTGGTGCCAACTGTCAAAGCTTGATTTTTAACTTTTTTGCCTCCATTTGAAGAGTCACACATACATTCAAAGCTACCAAAATGCTTAGTTTCGAGTAAAAACCCCAAAATAGTTCTCACTTCCTACACACAAACAAGAAAAATTACAATGACAGAAAAATATCAAAAGTTTCAAGTACCTTCAAAACAAAAAGCTCATTTAAGAGTATTATAATAAGTTTAATCTCTTTTAAGATATATTCTGAATGATACTTTTACTAGGCTTTTTACATATTTTACTAGATTTTCCAAATTGCAAAAACAATCTTACTTTATCATTCTATATACATGTACTAGAAGATATTCACACTGAATTAACTAGAAACATATATCAATCAATTATCATTGTTTTTAAGGAACAAGAAAGTACAAATGATCGTAATTTCTACTTTGACGAAATTGTATCTTTTACGCAACATTTGATACTTTATTACGCCTACGTTAATATCCTGGAGAGAAACAAAAGCCAAAATGTGCGTGTGTATCAGCAGAATGATGTTCTTCTTAATTTTTTACCAAGTTATTTTTTTTTCTTCTTCTTTTTTTAATTTTTTAATCAAAATACTCCTACTGTAAGTGATACCGAATTTCACATATAATCTAATTGTCTAAAAATCTAAAGAACGGTCTGAGACAAAATCTACTCATTTTACATCATTTCTGTTTGACTGCGGAAAAGTACTGCCCTTATGGGACCAATGATACAGTTGTGGAATCCATCGTTAAATTTTTCATATACGATTATAAACATCTAATAAACTTTTTTTTTATTTTTATTGTTTTTACGGATGGACTGAAAGTCGCCAAACGACGATAGTTTACTTTATGGAATATATTATTTAAATTTAATCATATACGATAGGGAAATATCAAAACAATCCTAGTGTGTGGCATGTTTTAAATACCGTTGTTATATTAAATATGTATGTGTTATCATATAAAGTGGTTTGTTTCATGATCGTATAGTAACATACGATTTGATTAGAAAATAACAAACCCTCATAGACTTGTACTTTTATAATTGTCTTACTATGTCTTACTAAAATAATAGTAAATGAATAAAACAGAACCAGTCTGTTGTTTTTCCGCTCAATTGTCAGAGAGGGGGTTTCCTATCTAAGAGGAAACTAATATTTTATCCTAGCAATTATTTGGGAAAAAAAAACAAATTTGTCTTTAATAATACAGAAAAAAAACCCAGACAAAACAAAACAAAAACAAAAATATGCCGACAAACACGTTAAGACTGACTAGAAGCAATGAGAAAACAATCATATATTTGAAACACGAATATTCAGCACTTAAAACAAACCTAAGATATTCTTTATTCTGAATTATTTTGAATTTTCTCTTTATTGTAACTATTATTTTGGCAAGACAAAATAAGGAAAATCAGTCATCAAAGAAGTAGAAGACAACGTTTTAAAATAAACTTAAATACTGGAATCTTTTGCGTGTTTTTTTAACGCAAACGATTACGTCTGTGCAGTGATTTTTGCATGCCGTCGATCAAGACCAGATGTAAAATAAAGACTATAAACCGAGAATGTTTAACGTTCTCAAAAACATTTCATTTAAGCTTGCTATACTTGATTTCTAATGTTAAATTAAAGGTTTCTGCACGGGATGGATTTCTTTTCATGGAAAAGTATAAGTTCTTGCATAGGCAGTAAAAAAATAGCAATACATGTACAACCTTAAACATAAACGTACATTGAAAAGAAAAAAAAGAATAAAAACAAACAAACTAAAGCAAACAAAATTAAAACATATCTTAGGTGAATAGCTTTCATCATAATTCACAAAACCTTTTAGAAAAATGGGATTTTTAAAATTCCTCGCTCGAGATGTACAATTGATTGAAACATAAAACAATTATCAGCAAGACTTCTTTCGTAGGCCATCATGCTGTTTTTAGAAGGGATATAGAATGTTAGATTGATCAGTTACAGAAAATAGTTTAAAACATATAGATGACCATCAATGGAATTCAACATTATATGTGCTGATTCACGCACATTTATGTGTGCAAATTTCAGAAAGATTACAAAGGAGGCCGTTCGGAAATGGCACCGTTAGAGGTTGGTAATAATCAGAATGAATGCTTTAAACTATAAAGTACAGACACAGATCTTACTTATAACCTGTTGTTCTTCTTCCATGCATATTTCATAAAATCTAAACATAAGGTTAACAGCACTGGCATTAGTTATAAATGATAATGTAATGACATTGGGACATAACGGCTGCTTTTTCTTTCCAACAGTTTTTGATAAAAACATGGTTACTTTAATCTTAAACAGCAAACCACGTAAACCAGAGTCTTGAAGAAATTTAAAAGTAAGATCTCCTTTCAAAATTGTTATTTGATGATCGCAATCTGTAAATAACTTGAGAGTAAAACATTAATGGTGCCTTTGTGGTTAAAAATAAGATAATTTTTTTTGCAGATAACTGATTGAAAGATTGAGGACCGAATAAGACCATACAGTTATAAAGTTTGTTCACTGACGATACTTTTATACTAATTCATATCTGGAAATACTACTTGCAAGACAAAATGTTATTTTATATTATTTTCTCTCAAAATTGTCACAAATACGCTGCTTAAAGAACAGTCAAGGTTTCAATTTCAGAAAATTGTCTATATTCTAGCTAACTTAAAAAGGGTCACGAATTATTTGAGACGGCAATCCCAAGTTTTGCAGTTATATTTATTTGTATCAAGTTAAACATTTATTGAATATCCATCTAAAAAGATTATTTAAACGTCGAGTTATAACAAAGAGATGATGGTGGGACGGCATTGATTGATTTTTGAAATAATTAAACAGATACGTTTTCCCCTTCTTTGATTTCATATTATTTTAATGTATAAGTCTTGTTTCTCCTTTTATATAGACATATCGAAGTAGCAACAAATAAATTAATAAATTCGTTATCAGTTTGTATGATTATATAACTTTTATAACTGTTTTGTCTTCTTATAATTGTTTAACAATCCATTCTATTATATATTGCTTTAATGTTTTACGTTACCCACGTTATATGTAGGAGAAAAACAAAAGGAAAGACATTGCACATAAACAACAAATAAATACCAGAACAGAACATACTTTCATTTTGACTTGAACATATTGTTACAATAAATGGACCAATAAACAAGACAAATCAAATACAAATTGAAAATGAATTATAACTTTACGTTCAATACACAGTGTCGCGTAATATCGCCGTTTCTTTGCGTTTGCATTTTTATAAACATATATTGAATTATTTATTAATTGTTAGTTTTGAGTGATTGATAAAGCCTATATAAAGACTTATAG